CTAGTTTAGGCTACACTTTACTGGGGTGGCCGTAGGCTAAAAATGGTGTAGTGTATCTTCGTCCATTTTTTTCACTTGAAGTGTGTGAAAAGCAAATTGAAGAAGCATTGGACTTGTAACTATCCAAGCCTCATTGTCGAGGTATTGTTCGATTCAATTAAACGTTTGGGCCTCAAAATCTAGTGCTTCGTAGGTTCGTCCCCTTGAACACTAATTAAAAAAAGGAAAAAGGGTCAAAAATGCCCTTGTACTATGTGAAAAGATCAAAAATGCCTCTCGTTTATACTTTGGTTCATTTATGCCCTTATTGATAGAAAAATGGGCCAAAAATGCCCTTAATGAAACGGAAGTAACGACAACTTCTTAAACAATTTAATTAGTCTTAATTAACATTTTCACTTATTAGATTTTTTTATTTTTTTTTTACCCTGACCCATTTACCATTTAACCCGGCCCACCCTTCTATTTATTCTTCTTCCAGTCATTTCTAGATAAACTCTCCTGCTTGTAGTTCAGATGAACACTATGCTTCTTATTAGGGTTTCTTATTGTGAGGATTTTACCAACCTTTGAAGCAAGACAATCAAGTTTCTCATAAAATATAAAGTTAATAGATTCAAGGTATGTTACTAATATTCATCATATTTTAAAGTAGGATTAGGATGTTTTGGTCAGAATCAAATTGGGTTTGTGTGTTTTTGTCAAAATCAAGAATTATTGGGTTATGTGTAGTATAATGTTGTTGTCAGTTAATATTCACATAAAAGAACTTAGTTTTAGAGATAAAGTTCATCTTTTTATGATTTTGTTGGGTGTTTTGTGGTCCTGAAATTTTTTATTATGTTATATGAGATTCTTTATGATTTTTTTGAACTAAAATTGTCATTGTGTAGTTACTGACATGGGCCCTTCTTTGTTCCTTTTTCTTGGGTTGAATTTGAAGATGATTGACAAAGTCGACTTGATTTTTCACTACGGGGGTACATGGGTAATTTCTCCTGAGCTATTATATAATCAGAATTCGGTGCATGTTTTGTCTGGGTATGAAGCCAATAATGTTAGATTTGTTGATGTTTGCGAAGAGTTCACAAAGAATTTAGGGTTCACTAAAGTAAATCAACTTTTAGTAACTGGACCTTCTGGAAGGTATTATTTGGTGACAGACGATGACGGTATGAGAACTTTGCAGTACTTATTCAGTAAGAAGTTTAGAGTGATAAATTTCTTTGCTGTAAATTCTT